TGGAATTTCCGCTTACGTAAGTTCCGGTAACATGTAATATCGTAGTCAAAATGTTAATGCACAGGTTTTTGTTCCGGGTGAAGGAAATTCCTTTTCATAGAATTCCGGGGATGGGAATATTTACTGTATATTTTTTTTTTATTATTGTTATTATTTTTTAAGGCCAGCAAAATCATTGGATTAGTCCCCTTTCACCAGACAGCTACTGCAGAGCAGGTAGGACAGCTGCTTTCTCCTGCTTCATTTGAATTGCATGTTCTTTCACTTGACATATTTACTGTCTGAGGAAATATTGTTGAATCTCAAGTAACACGAAGACTGTTTACATTTCATACATATGGACAGTCAAGGGCCAGCCGTCGACTGCAAAACCAGGCCAGGAAAGAGATTATCGAAAGAGAAAGGCAAATCACGCTGAGTCCGATGAAAAGAATGACTGATTCGGTGAGCATGGTGGTATTGTGGTGGAGTGATATTCTATCCATATTTAAATATAAAATACATTTTTTCTCTTCTTTTAATTCAGATGTCTCCTGATGAATATTCGAATTATGACGACATGGACTATGTTCCAGACACAAGTGGCAATTCATCAGATGAACGTATTTGCAGTACAGAGCACAGAATCACAGATTCTCTAGTTTCCCCAAAAGAGGACATGCCAGTAAAAGATGCAGCACAGATTGAGGAAATCACCACCTCAGCGATAGCTTCAAGTCATTCGATTTCAGTGACAAGTTGCAATGCCACTTCATCAGGGAATGCATCAGAGAGTAACAGCGCTATCAAGGTCACACCATTGCCAAAGGGGGCAAAACAAAACAAATACAACAAGAAGCAGTATTGTTTTTATTGTAAAAAGGCTCTTTCTAAACTGGCAAGACACCTTGAATCTGCCCACAGTTCACAGCCTGATGTTGCTCGGGCTCTAAATTTGGATAAAAGGTACCGCGAAAGAAGAAATTTGTTCAGCTTTCTGAAGAAGAGGGGAAACTTTAAGCATAATTCTACTGTGGCAAGCTGTGGTTCTGGCGAAATGGTTGCTTGTCGAAGACCCCTTACAGCAGGGGTCGGGAACCTATGGCTCGCGAGCCATATATGGCTCTTCTGACGGCTGCATATGGCTCGCAGAAAAATCTTTAATGATGAAAAAAAAATCGTGAGACTCCCTTGCGCATGCGCGAGCCGGCGACTAGAAAGCCGGTTCGCGGCGATTTTAGCGGGAAAGTGGCAAACGTACACGTCATTGTGTCTAATTAGCCATCTATCAATTGCCTTGGCAACGCAGATGAGGCAGAGACACTGTTCAAGTGGGGTTGCCTAATTTGCTGTCGAAAATAGTGGCGATGTGCGCATGTGCGTGAGATCAGGAAATAAACTTCCCTCGTTTTAATCGCGCTGTCAGCTAATTTTAGAGACCCTTTTGAGAAGATGGCTAAAAGAAAAAAAGACGAGGAGTATCGTACTTTTCAGCAGGAATGGACAGAGGAATTTGCCTTTATGGAGAGAGCAGGTTCCGCAATGTGCCTAATATGCAGCGATAAAATTGCATCGATGAAAAGGTCCAATATAAAGCGGCACTTCGACACCCGCCACACGACATTTGCATCGAAATATACTGCGGGGGACAGCAGGAAGAAAGCATGTCAAGAGCTTCTATCAAGAGTGCAAGCTAGTCAGCAGCAACTGTGTTTGTGTTTGGACCCAACAAGGTGACTGGAATTCGGCTAGCTTTGCTGCCGCGTTCGCAATTGTGAGAAACGGAAAGCCCTTCACGGATGGGGAGTACGCCAAAGCATTCATGCTTGATGTTGCCAATGAACTTTTTGATGACTTTTCGGATAAGGACAAGATAACTAAACGGATAAAAGACATGCCTCTGTCGGCAAGAACTGTTCACGACCGCACCATCATGATGTCAAATCAAATCGAGGCAAGGCAAGTGAAGGACATAAATGCGGCACCTGTTTTTTCTCTCGCCTTGGATGAGTCAACGGACGTAAGCAATTTATCCCAGTTCAGCGTGATTGCAAGGTATGTCGTCGGTGACACACTACACGAGGAAAGTCTTGCAGTTTTGACGATGAAAGGGACAACAAAAGGGGAGGATTTATTCAAGTCCTTCACTGAGTTCGCTAAAGAAAAAAATCTACCGATGGATAAACTTGTTTCGGTGTGCACTGACAGTGCTCCGTGCATGGTGGGGAAACAGAGGATTCGTGGCACTTCTTCGTGAGCATGAAAAGAGACACATCCTAAGTTTTCACTGCATCCTACATCAGGAGGCGCTTTGTGCTCAGATGTGTGGCGAGCAGCTTGGAGAGGTGATGTCGCTGGTAGTTCGGGTGGTCAATTTTATTGTTGCCCGAGCTTTAAATGATCGTCAGTTTAAAACACTGCTGGATGAAGTTGGGAATAATTATCCTGGTCTGCTTCTGCACAGCAACGTGCGTTGGTTGTCAAAGGGGAAGGTGCTCAGCCGTTTTGCGGCTTGTCTGAGCGAAATCCGGACTTTTCTTGGAATGAAAAATGTCGAGCATCCCGAGTTAGCTGACACTGAGTGGCTCCTGAAGTTCTACTATCTCGTGGATATGACTGAACATCTAAACCAGCTCAATGTGAAAATGCAAGGCATTGGAAATACAATTTTATCCCTGCAACAAGCAGTGTTTGCATTTGAAAACAAGCTACAACTTTTCATCGCCGACATTGAAACAGGTCGTTTACTACACTTTGAAAAACTGGGAAAGTTTAAAGAGGCATACACAGCAAGTGACCCTGCTCAACATTTTGATCTTCGGCAGCTAGCAGGATTCACATCTAATCTCCTGCAGTCATTCAAATCGCGCTTTGGAGAATTTCGCGAGCGCAATCATCTTTTTAAGTTCATCACCCATCCGCACGAGTGGACAGTGGACAGCGCAGACCTGAGTTACATTCCCGGTGTCTCAGTCAGAGATTTTGAGCTACAAGCTGCTGACCTGAAGGCCTCAAACATGTGGGTGAATAAGTTCAAGTCACTGAATGAAGATTTGGAAAGACTTGAACGACAGCAAGCAGAGTTGGCAAGCCAACACAAGTGGGCAGAAATGAAAAAACTTCCACCCGCAGACCAGCTGATTGTCAAAACTTGGAACGCGCTTCCCGTCACATACCACACACTGCAGCGTGTGAGTATTGCTGTACTGACAATGTTTGGCTCTACCTATACATGTGAGCAGTCTTTCTCACATCTGAAGAACATTAAGACCAACCTACGATCACGTTTAACGGATGGAAGTCTCAATGCCTGCATGAAGCTTAACCTCACCAAGTATCAACCAGACTACAAAGCCATCAGCAAAACCATGCAGCACCAGAAGTCACATTAATGGTAAGAAATACTCATCATTGATTAGCATCAGCATAACAATGTTGTTAAAATCATTCAGAGTCTTATTGTACTTTAAAAGTGTTGATATTACATAAAATGCACACATTACTTGTATTTTTAGTTTTAAACATATTGTATGGCGCTCACAGAATTGCATTTAAAAATATGTGGTGTTTATGGCTCTCTCAGCCAAAAAGGTTCCCGACCCCTGCCTTACAGCAACAAAATCTGATGGCTACCGTCACTGCAAGTTTTGTCAAGGATTATATGCAAAAGCATCTCTTTGGAGACATGTTAAAAACTGTCCTCAGAAGTCTGAGGTAGAGCCTTCCATTGGGCAAAAGCGGATCAAACTAGACTTACCAAGACCTAATCAAGTCTGAGAAGCTGTTTGGAAGATTGCCTGTGAAATGAACGATGATGACATTTCCTTGGTAGTTAGGAGTGAAAAATACATTCTTAGCCTTGGCGAGTCATTGTACAATGCCAGAAAACCACAAGAGAAAAGGAATGAATACATTCGCCAAAAAATCTGAGAAATGGCAAGATTATTGATAACGGTCAGAGCCGTAACACCATTGAAGAGCACAGAAGACCTTGTTATGCCAAGTAACTTTCCCCATGTCATACAAGCAGTCAGAGCTGTTGCTGGTTTTGAGTTGGAAAGCAACTCATTTAAAACCCCTTCCTTGGCTTTGAAATTGGGGCACAGTTTGGCCAAAGTTGCAGGCATTGTGCAGTGCAGTGCCATCGTTGCAAATCAACTTTATGTTGCAGAGTCAGCCAAGCAATTCGTCACACTCTATGAGAAAAAGTGGAATGAGACCATTTCAGCTGCTGCATTGGGTACACTTCAACAAGCCAAGTGGAATAAACCTCAGGTTTTACCGTTTACACAGGCTGTTTCGCTGCTGCACAAGTACCTTGAGGCTGAGTCTGCTCAGTGCATGAAAGATTTGAGTGAAAAACCCAACAATATAACCTTTGGAAATCTTGCAAAAGTGACTGACGCAAGTTGTACTATTTAACAGAAAGAGGCAAGGGGAAATTTCAAAAATGGAGCTCCAGTCTTTCACAATGCGAAATCGCACAAAGTTGAATCCCGACATTATGCTGTGTCTCACTGAATTTGAAAGGAAGCTTACAAAGTATTTTGACAGAGTTGAGATCCGTGGCAAAAGATCAAGGATGGTACCTGTTCTTCTCACCCCTGGCATGATCACTGCAATGGACCTCCTTGTGAAAAAGAGGAATGATTGTCAAGTCCACACAAAGGATGTGTACTTGTTCGCACGTCCAGGTGTCCTTTCCCATTACAGAGGCTCTGACTGCCTCCGCCAGTTTGCAAACCAATGTGGTGCAATATACCCAGATGCACTTACCTCCACAAGATTACGAAAACAAGTTGCCACTCTGTCCACAGTACTGAACCTGAAAGAAAATGAAATGGATCAACTTGCCACATTTCTCGGACACGACATTCACGTCCACCGAGAATTCTACCGACTTCCGGAGAGTACCCTGCAGCTTGCAAAAGTCAGCAAACTGTTGATGGCGATGAAGAAAGGAAAACTGTCTGACCTGCAGGGAAAAGGACTGAATGAAATCAAGATCAATCCTGATGGTGAAATATGTTTTAAATATCATTTTTAAAACATCTAACATTCTGCGTTTGCCCTGAAACAAAAGCATTTTGTCCTGTCTGTTTTTTCTTCTTTTTTTAACCCAACCAAATGAAGTAACTACGAGCGATGACGATTTGAGCAAAGAAACCAATGCTGACCTTAATCAAGAAAAAGCTATTCTCACTTACACAGAAAATGGTAATGTCCTCAAGTTATGACACAAGACAGAGTTAATTGGTGCCTGATAAATCTCAGTCTTTATGAACAACTATGTATGAATTAGAGACAATATACTACAGTATTTGAAAATGGTGTTGAAAGATGGAAAATGTGCAGGTTGAAAACTCATTAGGCCTCGAAAGCCGAAAGAAAATTGAGAAATTAGGAGACGATTTGGAACATATAAGAAAGCAATGGTGAAAAGCCACATTCAACTATTTTTGTATTGTTTTTCAAAGGCTCAAGCTCTGAGACTTCTGGGAACCCAAGCCATTCATATGCGCCATCCATATCGGACAACATGGAAGGCACTTCTGCTTCAACCACCTTCGACAACACTGAAGACAGATTTGTCTCAACCCTGGAAAACATTCCTGCTCCAACCCAGTTAGAGAACATGGACAACACTTCCTTCTCAACCACACGGGACCACAATAACATCAGTAACAGTTAAACAAAAATGGCAAAAATTAACATATCTTAATTGAAGTTGAAGTACTTTTGATGAACAAAAAAATATTTTTTCTCTGACACGGGAGTATGAGAATATATTATTTTCTGTCCTTTTAGATTCTCGTCGAAGCACATCACTTCAAGTGAGTGTCATGTCCCGTTTTCGACAG